AATGTAACACCCACTTTTCACTATTTATGTTATGAGTCCCATGTAATAGGGGGTGAGCCTATTGCCATATACCGGGCACATTTCCAGACGCCGTGCTACTACTGAGATTTTTAAAAACCCAGTAAATACTTTGCCCGACCCGGGAATCGAACCCGAGACCCATTGCCCGGCAGTCACACTTGCGACCACTCGGCCAACGAGGCAGGCAGTATTATATTTATAACCTAATATTTTGTGTGGTTCCTTCGAGTTTAGGATTCTATTGAGCACAGTTTATGAGCAGCGTTTTTTTTTTAAAAATATACTTATTTTTATTTTAGATTTGGATCATAATCACAGTCATTTTGGGTAGCTAAAAACCTACTTTACTGTAATGCTTCTCTATATACAATATTAGACGTATGGCCATCGGGGGTGAAAGCATACAGGCTGCTGGGATTGCTAACACGGGACAGAGCCACATACAATTGACCGTGCGAAAAACAGCTGATACTTAGATCTATACCCACAACTTTTAGAGTCTGACCTTGAGCTTTATTAATTGTCATGGCGAAACATAGGCTCACTGGAAACTGAATTCGTTTAAAATTAAACGGAAAATTTTTTGGAATGAGAGGAATCTGAGGAATAAAACCACTATCACCTTTTCCGCACCCTGTTAAATATATATATATTTATAAGCCATTTCTGAGATTAGCGTGAACAGACAAACAGACAAACAGACAAAAAAAAAGTTAGTTACATTTTTGGGTTCGACATCGACATAACAATAGCCCCTGCTATTTTTTTTATTTTTATTTTCAATGTACAGACAGCACTTTTCTACAATTTTATTATATGTATAGATGTATGTAGGAATATGGAGTTCATAAAATATATGTTTAACGTGCTCACGATGTATCGTCACGCGTACGAATTTCCTTACGAGTTTTGGGGAATTCCAAACAGTGCTGAACTCTAAAGGATCTGGGTTAGATGTCTGAACAAGTCAAAAAGTCAAAATAATTTATTTAAATTAGACCACAAATTAGACCAATAATATATAATATC